CATGGGTGATGGGAGGATTTGGTGCCGACACATTGACCAGCTACGGAAGTATTGGGCCGCCAACACAGAAGACACATTTGATGAACCGCTCCCTAGCTACCAACAGGACTCTCGACCTAACTCAAACCTGAGTCAAGCGGAGGACTTAGCTGTCGGCCCCGAGATCCAGCGCTGCCCCATCACGGAAGATCGACCAGCCGCAGAAGTCGCCGCCCACAACGAATTCTCGGAGGTTCCATTGGCAGAGCAGGGAGAAACGGGGAGTTCCTCCGACCTGCTTGACACCACGCCTCCGACTGAACTGCGCAGGTCAACTAGGGTGCGGACACGCCCTGGTCACCTGAGAGACTCTGTATGCTAATGTCCACCCCAAGTGACTTCTGGGAGAGGAGGAGTGTTATGTTTGTAGATTTGGGCGGGCAGTTTGAATTAACTGACCATCAGCTGATTGGCTGACCACCACAGCTGCAAGGTATATAAAGGGAGCTATTTCCCCTGGTCAGTTGCTGGGTTCTCACCCTACAATGAAGAGCTGTTGTCACTCACTGCCTGGCTTGCTGCGTCCTCATTCACCCAACATAACATCTACCATTACCCTCATCCCACTCCTGCCAGAGATCATAAAAATGCTGCTTCCATCCAATAGTTAGACCTGAATCCCAACAGAAAAGGGTTAGATAATTTGTTTCATCCAGGAACCTCTATAGGTGCCCAACAACCTTTCCAAAAAAGGAAAGATTAAAGACAGGACGACAATTACTCAATAGGGTGGAATCCAGCAATGGCCTCTTCAGAAGAGGGCAGTCCAGAGCCTTCTTAAAAGGTTGGGCACCAGCCCCTCCTGCAAAGAAGCATTAATCACAGGAACCCACTCACATATCACCTCCTGAGAGGCTTTCACAAGCCAGGAAGGACAGGGATCTAAAGCACAAGTGGTTGCATTCACACACCTTAGGATTCTATTCACTTCCTCAAGAGCAACAGAATCACACTATTCCCAGATAACTGAGTAAGCACCTGCCCCAGACCTCTGCACCGGATCAATAGCCACACTGGCATCTAACTGGGAATGAATTGTGTGATTTTGTCTTCCAGAAAAATCAGCAAAAATCAGTGTGCTACTGCAGGTAGATGACTGTATCCTCCTTCCCCAGAAGGAAGCAGGTCACTTTACAAGAGTCACTGTGCAATTATCTGCAGATGCAATTAGTGTAGAGAAGCAGTTAGGCTTTGCCACCTGAATCACCATGAGGTAGGGTTTAATAGCAGCTCTTACCTGTATTCAGTTGATTTTCACAACATATTCCTGGATAGTGAAAGTGCTTTTACTTGATTTACATTTTTTTGCTCATTCACTACTGGGATTTTGTATTTCATTAATTTGCAAAAAGTCTGGAGCTTTTTTTAAAATCTTCTAATTTTGGATTGAAATATTCAGAAAATTTTTCCCTTTTTCTGTATTTTCTAAGGGATTTTACTTCAATGTTTCTTGTTTCCTGTCTTTGAAAAAGTCTCTTATCTACCTAGCAACAATGTATCTGATTACAGATGAGGAAAGGTGGTTGACATCTGAAAAAAGACCATTTGGAAATATGCTATCCCCATTTCAAAGCCTTTTTTAAAGAAGTTTGATGAAATGAGAATGGCTGCAGAAAATATTCAGATGCGTGTAACTACAAATAAATCAGATACACAAAAGGAATGCAATCTGAAAGTAGCAGATTCACTGGAAAGAAATATGGGCTTTATAGATTTAGAACTAACTGAGATGATTGCACATGCCTCCTTGAAGTTCAAGCCTGCATTATTTTACAATTGCAGAAAACTGACTCAGTGGATAAGTGATAAATTGGTTTTCTTTAGAGGACTGAAAGAGATTGGGGGATGGATTTATCACACTTAACTGGAAAACAAATACTTCTGGACTTTTTTGGAATGATGGACCGACTTTGGACATTGGACCTATTACAGTATATCTAACCAAACAACAATTGATATGAGTTAGTATTAAGAAACAAACGTGAATATTTGATTAAGGACAAATCAGTGTTCACTCTTGAGATGTTTTGGAATAGATGGTAAATTTTCTATGAGTTGTTTACAGTAATAGTAACAGTTTGTTAACTGGAGGTTTTGAAATTTAACCTTGCCTTTTTATTATTATTGTTCTTCCTGTTAACTGTTTTGTTATTAATATACTAGATAGATAACAGATTAATAACTTGCAAACAGAATTAGTAATTTAAATTTTGGGGGGCCTGTTTTGCAAGGAATGGGAAACTAATATTGTATACAGTATCCATTGTATCCATTAATGTATTCTTCATTAATGTATTCAACTAGACGAGATAATATGTGTAGTTTTTTTAATGCACTTTTTAATGTCTTGTTTGCTTTGTGTTTTTTTTTTTCTTTGTTTCTTTAAAAAAAAACTTTGGAGTTTTGTATTTTAACTTTTTTTGAATAAGATAAAAATAGACTTTTAAAAAAGGAGTGGGAGGTCCAGCTCATGGCCCCTGCTTTTCAGGGTTCTGAAGTTTGGTATTTTTTCCACCTCTGTATAATATGTATACATGAAGCTATTGGATAATGGGATGAGATATCATCAGAATGCTGATAATACTCAGCTGTATCTATTAGCTCATGGGGTCAGTTTGGTCATGCTGTAACTTCCCTCTCATGGTGCCTGGAGATTGTTAAGGGTTGGCTGAGAAGCAATGAACTGAAACTGAACCCTGGCAAGATACAATGGCTCTGGAGTTGGGGCTCTTTGGTTCATGTAGAATTGCCATCCCAGCCAAGCCAATGCATAATCTGGAGGTTCTCCTGGACTTGTGATTCCTGCTTGAGGAGCAGGTGGCAGTCGTGATCAGGAAGGCTTTTGCACAATTGTGGGTTGTGCATCAGTTGACCCTTTCCTGGACCAGCAGGCCCTACTTATAGTCACTCGTGGTCTAATCATCTCTCCCCTTGACCGTTGCAATGTGTTCTACATGGGCTGCCCTTTAAAAGTATTCAGAAACTTCAGTTGGTTCAAAATGCAGCAGCCTGCATTGTTTTGTGTCTAGATTGCACACATGTTAGCTATCATGCAGGAGGTGCATTGGTTGCTGATTTGTTTCTGGTGCTGGTTATCACCTTTAAAGTACTACATGACTTGGGGCCAGGTTATTGAAGGACTGTCTTTTCCCAGTTATATCTACCCAACCCACCAGGTCAGGAAGGCATGGGATATTACAGATCCCCTCCATTAAGGAGATCCTCCAAGTGAGACCACTAAGAAGGGTCTTTTTCATGGTGGCTCCCTCTCTGTGGGACATCATCCGCATGGAAATAAGATTGGCCTCCACCTTTATACTCTTCAAAAGTCCGAACATAATTTTGCCAGTGGGCATGTGGAACCCAAATTGATATAAAGCCTATGAAGTGATTTGAATAAATATTATTGTCAGGGAATTGGGGTTGAATTGGGTTTTGTATTAGGGTTTTTTTTTCCTGTAAGCCGCACAGAATCACAATGAAGGAGTTGGGTGACCATATACATTTTTTAAAATAAATACCAAGCTCAAGATACTATTTTGTACCTTCTAAAAGCAAAATGCTTTAGGCCTTCTTATCATGGGAATATTTTATTTATATAGATTTCCATTGTATCTAAGACCATGGAAGACCATATTTACAGACTATCTCATTGTTGATCCAAAATTGATAGATTCATTATCATAATTTTTTTTCTTTTTTTTTTGTATATATTTTTATTAAAGTTTTTACATAAATAATAGTTAAACATGAAAGTATATAAAGAAAAGTTAAAAAGAAAATAAATAAAAGAAAAAGTACAAAAAGAAAATACAATTAGAAAAAAAGGGGAAAAAAGTAGAAATAGCTTCCAGTCTTCTTTGCAGTATATAAGCTACCAGTATCTCTCCTCCCTCATTAAGGTTAGATTACAGATTCCTTCTGTCCTATAGTCAAACTTTTCAAATTAGAATATACAAATTCACCATTTCACATTTTTTCATTTTAGCAAAAAGTCCATAAAATGTTTCCATAGAATTATCACTCTCAGGACTCATAATGGGGATAGTAATAACTCCACTAGAAACTATAGTTTTTCTATACTTACTACCAAAAGTGTGGATAGGCCTCCGCCACTCTCTGATACATATATTACTTAAAATCATTTAAGTGGAATTAACGCAATGTAATAGATTAGGACTGAGAACATTTCAGTCCATTCTCATATTTTGAAGTTATCTGAGTAACTTTGGGCCAGTCAGCCCTCTCTCTTAACCCAATCTATTACACAAAGTTATTATTGTGAGGTAACATTAGAGGAGGCGATATTATATATCATGCCTTGAGCTCATGGTAAAAAAATGGGGTCAAAAATAAAATAAACAGTGAAAGTGAAGGAAGTAGGTAGTCCTTTAAAACACATGCTCTAATTTGTAATCTATGTGTTAATCTTTAAATCAATCCAGTGCTCTCTCAGGATTTTAACATGGCCCACACTTTGAAAAGACAAAAAATGTGGTCCAAAATTTTTTTATTGGAGTCCGTTTAATCTATTTACTGCCACTTAGACTTTGGCAGCTCTAAATCTCACTTCCTGGCTGTGGAGCTGATGTTAAATGCCATAGATGTTTCCTACATATTTCTTTCTGATTTTCCTCTCCCCAGTCTTTAGTTCTGAATGCTTTGGACACCCAATCTGACTGGACTTCAGTTTTATTTGAGCCATGACAGTGCCATCACCCTCTCAAGCTTGCACACAATGGTATATTAATAGTAAACAGAAGCTTATAAGGAATAAGAATAATATAGTGAAGCACTATGAAATTTTACATAAATGCATATTATAACTATTCTAATATTACCACTGATAATATTAACTCTAATATTATTATTAACTCTAATAATATACTGACTTCTTATGTGCAATATCTTATTGCTCAGAAATCTTGTTTACATAACATTTTTCTATTTTTATTTTCCAGGATTTGGCAGAACTACACCAACTACCAGAACAGGCAAACTTTTTCTGATATTTTATGGCCTTATTGGCTGTGCAGCGACCATCTTGTTCTTCAACTTATTCCTGGAGCGCCTGATCACAGTCATAGGAAGTGTTATGAAGACTTACCATAAGAGGAAGCTAAAACGAAAACTTCCTAAAGATGTCCAGCAGGCTGGGATTGATGAAGTAGACAACTTAGCTGGATGGAAGCCCTCTGTGTATCATGTCATGCTTATCTTGTGTTTGGTATCAGTCATTGTTTCCTGTAGTGCCTCTGCTATGTTCTCGGCAACAGAAGGATGGAGTTACTCTGATTCCCTTTATTATTGCTTTGTGGCCTTCAGTACTATTGGTTTTGGTGACATGTTGAGTGGTTGGAATCCATACTACAGATATCAACACCTATATCGGTTTGGCAACAGTGTTGTTATACTCATAGGAATATGTTTTATCTATTCTTTATTTAATGTGATCGCCATTGTTATCAAACAGTTCTTAAACTGGATATTAAAGAAAATGGGCAGCACATGTCGTAAGTGCCGAAGAAAACTCTTGAGATCACAGAAAAATGTTGTGATGCCAGGGACTGTGTGGAGACAGCGCAACGTATCAATTGAATCAGATGGTGTCCTTGACAGTGAGTCAGAAGGACGCAGAGTATCTGGTGAAATGTCCATGAAAGACCTCTTAGCTGCTAACAAAGTATCACTTGCTGCCATCCAAAAACAATTGGCTGAAATTCCTCATCACAGACCACCAGTGCCAAATGGATTTGCAGGTGGAGTAGGTGCTTTGGGAATTGTGAGCAATAGGGTGGCAGAGACAAGAACTGATAGGTAAACATTAACACTGGAATATGTCAGTAAGTATAAGAAGATAAAGATCAAATCACAAAGACAGCTAACTGAACAAGTTGATTTTCAGAAAGACAAGCCCTAGTTTTGTTGCTGGCAGTTAGTTATGTGTTGCATTTTGCACATAATGGTCTGTTCTTGCTCAATAGCCCCTGCTGAAGACGATTCAATGGTATCATTTCATGTAGCCACATTTAAAAGTTTCAGCAGTATGTGTCAAAAGCATGAGAAAGTAAACAAAACACCCAATAGACTAAATTTGCTTCATTAGTAATTTAATCTTGGAAACTGCTGTTTAAACAAGTGTTGGTGTGAAAAAGACATCCCCTTGAGCCAGTATGGGACCATTGAAATAGCTGCTGTCATTGACTGCTTACCCTGTTTGTCATCCTTCTTTTGATTAACTGCTAATCTGTAGCCTAAAGTTCCAGGATGACAATCAAGAAAGTTGTACAGCAGACTAGAAGTCCCTATGTCAAATGTTTTTACATTAGATGGCATGTACAAACCACCGTTTTCTCTGTATCAGTCAAAAGACTACTCATGGGGTCATTCATTTCAGCTAAAAAAATAATTGTTCAAAAAGCTAAGCTATTCTTTTAATTTATGACATATGTACATACATATACATACATATAAATACACATATACATACATGACTATAAATACACACACACACACACACACTAATTCTAATCCAGAGATGCTGTGCATCAGAAAGTACACCACAAAAGAATTGAGTAGTTGTGTCAGGAGGTAAAGTCAAGAATCAGACAAATCAGAATGAGTCTAATGAATGCTCAGAAGCAAACATTTGCTTTTGAATTTATAGGTGAAAAGTTCTTCACTGCTTATTCAGAGATTTGTTGCAGACGATCTTCATCTTCCAGGATTATTTATCATTTCTGCACACATCAGAATTCTGCACTGTGTAATATGTTTGCAAGAGTTAATTATTAGATTGATATGGAATGGCATGTTAGTGCATAAAACCTTTGTTTTGCCCATATTATCAGGACCAAGTATATATTTCTAATGGCAAAGTTCTTCCACTAGAAATAGTGAAATAAAATTAGGTGAAACTCATTAGAACCATAAAACATCTTAGCTTTCAAAATGTATCTTCTAATCTCCAGTTCCAAAACCAATTTTTTTAATTATTATTCATGAGCTGAACTCTTTGGAAATGTTGCTACCCAACAGCTACTGTCTGCAATTGGGCACTTTCTCTTCTGGATGTTTTGTTTTAAGAAAACGTTTTATGACATTTTGTATTACTTCATAAACTATGATAATGTTTATGTCATAAAATATTTTATAAACTTTGCTAAATTTCAATTCCATGGGAATCATGGGCCCCATATTTTTGATGCATTCTGCAATTTGAGGTATCCTAAGTGAATTTGAAAAGTAAATTATGAAGGGTAAGTAAATTCAGTACTGAATTAATTTAAGGAACAACATGTCAAAAGCTTATCGGGTATCTATCCATGGACATGAAATGCTGGGCAAGTATCATTTTAACATACAAGTATCTATATTCTCCAGCCTTTTTCATATGGTAGTTCTTGATAATGATAATGACGGAGCTTTGATTAGGAAAGATGAAAATTCCTCATTCTGCTGAATAAAATCACTCAAGTGCTCAATGTGACGTGGGCAACTAAATGAGAACTGTTTTAATGATGAATTAAACAAAGAAACCAGAAATCAAATGGATCAATAATGACTGGAGAACAATAAATAGTGAAATAAATAAACAGAAGAGGAAGAGGTTCTAAAAATAAGAGTCACATTCTAGCTTCATTTATTCCTGTTCAAAGTTGTTAAAATTGATAATGTTTATATGGCATAACTTAGGCATAGATAGATATGATAAAATCCAATATATAAAGAATTAATAAAAGCCTTTGCTGTCATTTGCACTGAACAATGGCTTCTAGGCTCGTAAAGCAAGGGAAATTATCTTTAAAATGCACCAATATTTCTATAGAAAAAAAAAATCAGAAAAGCAAATGAAACCCATTATTTTTGAGCATTGAAGCATAATGACTAAAATGCCACATTTCTGATGTGCCATCATAGCCAGCTATTCTAACATGGATGGTTTAAGAAAGAGAACAATGAGCCCTCTTAACAGAAGCATGGAGATGTTAAGAAGACTTTATCTATCAATTTATTTCACAGCATTCTATTCATGAAGCAGAGTGGTGCAGTGGTCTAGAGGTGGAGTTCTCACCTCACAATGAGGAGGCTGTGTTCTATTCTAGGTAGCAGCAGATATTTCTCTGGGCACAATGAGAAAATTGCTGCGAACTCCGCATTGGCAACAGGAAGGGTGTCTGGCCAGTAAACACTCAGTTCCATTCAGTTACCCTGACTCCATCCCAATGAAAGGGATAACGGTGTCATTAAAAGACAATATATAATATAATTAATTAATATATATATTAATTAATTAATTAATATATATATTCATGAAGCAACAAAAACATGGGTCCACAATGCAACAAATAGTCTCCAACCTTTCTCCTTCCAATCCTCTGAGTTTTACAGATCCTTACTATTTTTGCCATAGGCTTTGTAGTAATTCTAGCTGCCACCACCGAGTTCTTACAATAAACAGCTGTTAGTCCATCTGTTCCTGGAGCTTTTCCTATTTTTAACTGCTTAATTGCCGCAATAATCTCCTCAGAAGTTATTGATTCAATCCTTCCCTCTGTTCCAACGTTAGTTCCAAAATATTTCCTTCCTTTAAATATCTATATACCTTGTATTGAGTCACTAGCATATAGCTTTGTATAAAATTCCAAAAAAGCCTTTTTAATCAAATTCTGTTGGTAAACTTCCTTACCTCTATATTCTATCTTACTAATGACTCGTGCTTTCTGTTTTTTCCTCAACATGTAGGCCAACCACCTACCTGGTTTATTGGAATTACAAAATGTATTATGTTTAGCATATTGTAAACTAGTTGCCACCTGATCAGCCATTAACATATTGAATTGCCCTCGTAATATGTTTATTGTTTCTTTTACTTTCTTATCTCCTGGATTAGATATAAGTAATTGTTCTTTCTTTTTTATTTCTTCCTCTCTCTCTTTACGCTTCTTCTGTTGTTTTAGTCTATATTTATTATTCATATGTATTAAGATACCTCTCATATAAGCCTTACTAGCATCCCAGACCATTTCCATAGAAGTACCCTTATTCATGTTAATAACAAAAAATTCTCTCATTTGTTTTTTAAGCTCCTTTACATTTTCTTCATATCTAAATAAGTTTTCATTCAACCTCCAAGACCTCCTTTCTCCCCTCTCCTGTTCAAATTCAATCCAGACCGGACTATGATCAGTTAAAGTTCTTGGACATATCTTTGTCTTCTTCACCCTGGAAATAAAAACATTTGTGATTAGTATAAAATCAATCCTGGAGAAGGATTGATGTCTATCAGAAAAAAAAGTAAAATCTTTTTCCTCCAGGTTACGTTCTCTCCAGATATCTCTCAATTCTATATCTTCCATCATATCAAAAAAAGATTTAGGTAGTTTTGCACGTGCTGAAGTCTTTGATGAGCTTTTTTTATCTTTCTGCGTATCAATTACTCCATTCCAATCACCCATTAGTATAAAAGATTTATAGTCCCACTGTATTATTTTAGTATGTAAAAATTTATAAAACTTGTCTTGTTGCTGGTTAGGGGCATATATACCAATAAGAAGCATTTTTCCAGACTGTCAATAATTCAATTGCAATATATCTTCCTTGATCATCTGCCTCAATTAGATTAGGTGATAGTCCTTTCCTTACATATATGACTAGTCCATTTTTCTTCTCTGGCGCTGATGCCACAAAATTTGTACCTAATCTTGAATTTATCAAATATTTTTGGTCTGATAATCTAATATGTGTTTCTTGTAAGCAAATAACATCGTTGTTAAATTGTTTCAAGTAGTGAAATACTTTCTTTTTTGTGGTGAGTTTAGGCCATTAACATTCCAAGATAGGAATTTAGTTGCCATCTTTAGCCTTTCGAAGCCTTGTGAGCATCAGCTGAAGCTCCTCCTCCACCTTACTCTTCGGCCTAGCTCCCCCCACTGCTTCTGTTTTTTGTACTTCTTGAAGTGAATCTTGAGGTTGTTGCCCTTTTGGTGGTTGTTGTTGCAATTTATAAGTTGATCGGGTCAGTCGTTGTGCTTTCGGTTCTCCCTTCTTAGGTGGTTCCAAAGTTGGGGGTAAACCCCCAAGATCCAAATCTTCTTCCATAATAATTCCTACAGCTACAGCTTCAGCGTAGGTTTGTATCTGTTTTCCATCTTTTTCTTGTTGTAACATCTCCATTTTCTTCCTCCCCCCCCCCCGGTGAGGGTGGGTATCCAGCCTGTAACACATTTACATAAAAATCTTTTGCCTTCCAAACTGTGTTTAACCGGTATCTTTCTCCTTTATAAGTCACTATTAAACCAATTGGAACGTCCCATCTATATGCCACCTGTTGATTTCTCAACTCATTTACCAGAAAGCCAAAGTCTTTCCTGCTTCTCAACATCTTTGGAGGAATCTCTTTCAAAACCACCACCTCCTGCCCAGCCACCTGAACTTTATTCTTGTAAGAAGCTTGTAGAATTTCATTTCTGATCCTCCTAGTTGTAAAGTAAATCACCACATCTCGTGGCAGCTGTCTTTGTTTTGCCAACCAGGAATTAACCCTGTAAATTTTATCAATTTGAATTGCCACATCTTCTGGTCTTTCTTTAATTATCTCAGCCATAGCATCAGCACAAATGTCTTTTAATTTTTCTTTGCTATTTTCCTTCAGGCCTCTCAGTCTCAGAGCAAACTCCATAGATCTGTATTGTAACATTACCAATTCATCATCCACTTTCTCTGTTCTGGTCATGACATCACCCATTTTGCTCTCCAGATTTAAATTGGCTTCATTAATTTCTTCAACTTTCCCATCAAGCTGGATAACAAGATTTGAGAGTCCTGATACAGCAAAAACAATATCATCTCTTATCATGCTCCTTTGCAACTGCTCCCTTGATCGAACCTATGTCTTCCTCTATTTTCTTAAATTTCCCTTCAACAAGTAATGTTAAATTGTTCATTGCTTATCTCATTGCTGTTGCTTGATTATTCATGGCTTCTTTCATAGCTTCCTTAAAATCATTAAGTGCTGCGTCTTGACTCTGGGTCTGGCTCTGTGAATCAGCCGGAAGTTGTGCTTGTTGTGTCAGTGGAGCCTCCCCCTCCTT